CCACGATGAGCACTGTGGGGAGCGGCTCGGTGAGGGCGGGCTTCACCCCAGGACCCTGCCGCCCTGCCCGCCCAGACCTACCGAGGGCGAGGCCGACACCGTCACCGCGTGTGCCCCGGGACTTCAAGGGGGACACGTGCACCGGCCCAGATGACGCAGGGGAGCCCAAAGAGGTATGGGGCGTGGGCGCAGGGGCCCCAGGAGTGGAAGGGAGGCCCAGGTCAGGGTCCTGCCCTCCCTCGGAGAGCCCCAGGGTGGCTGCTGCAGAAAGAAGACAAGTTATAACAGCAGAACCAGGCTGGGGACAAGGACGTGGGCGCAGGGTTGGGAATGGGGTCGGAGTCTCACCCAGCCGTTGGGGCACCTCAGGCTGGGGCAGTGCCGGGAGCCTCCAGCGCCCTGCCTCCTGCCGGGCCAGCTCCTGGGCCAGGAAGTCAATCTCATCTTCCAGTCTGGGGTGGGGCGGTCCCTCCCCTGCGGGCAATGAGGGGCTGTCAGGTGGAGAGGCTGCCAGCCCCTCCTAGACGGTGCTTCTCCCTCCAGGCCCCTCTTGGCCGGAGGGCCAGGTACCACTGGCCAGCAGCCCCTGGCCATCCTACATTGCCATGGGGACAACTGAAGGAGCTCACTGTGAACAGCAAAACTCCCAGAACAACTGGGGGTGCCAGGAGATGGGCAAGGGTGCCCCTTACCCCACCCACTACCAACAAAGGGCGGACTGAGACGACGGACCGCCCCACCCTGTCACCTTCTCTGCCAAGAGGGGCAGTGACTCCCCGGGGAGCGGGGAGAGGCCCCGCTCTCATCTCCCACCTCCACCAGGTCATCAGGAAGAAGGGACGGCGGCTGTCCAGGTGGTGCTAGTGGCCGGACACCCTCGCTGTCCCTGTGCTGGGCCCCACAGGCCGGGCTCCGAGGAGGCACCCACGCACGGCGCCGACAGCAGCGGCCTCCACGGCAGGCCTGCCCTTCTGTCTCCACCCTGCACCGTGCCAGGAACAGGGTTCTCCAGCCACTAGCCCAGACACTCGGCACCGCCGGTGGCCCTGGGGAGCGTCCTATCACACCCACACTCTGGCCGCCCTTCCCCGCGCTGGGCTCGGGTCGGCGGGTGGGGCATCCCTCCCACCACGCATGGAGTGGACGAGTTAGCATCGGAGAGGGGAGCGCGCTGGACAAAGAGCGGGGGCAGCCACCAGCACGGAAGTGGGCGCCAGAGAGGTTTCCTGCAGACCTAGTGGGTCCCCAGGCCTGGGGAACTCTGATCCCGCCTCTCCAGCATCAGCCCAGCATTTCACACTGGACATCCCTTGCCCTGGGCCTCAGCCCACTGCCAGGCTCTGGGCTGGTGCCATTGGAAAGAATCACCAGGCCACTTGGAGGGTGATGAGAGTCGCTGGTATCCCACAGAGCTCAGAGGACCTGGGGGCCGAGGACAGGGGGCGAATGTCTCAGGGTGGGGAAGGGAGGCTGGCTACCCTGCTCCCCCGTACCCGGAGGCTGGCGCGTCCTGGGCACACAGAGTCCTTGTGCGTCCTCCTTGAAGGGCTGAAGGCAGGGCCCACAGACGTGGGCACCTGGGGGGCACCGTGCCCGCCTCTTCAGGGCACAATCCAGGCTCCCGGGACAGGTGGCCACATCTGGGAAGGAACCAGAGCAGAGTGGGGTCATGGCGCCGCACAGAAGCAATCCTGTCCCAGCCACCCTCCCCCTCCCCCACACAGCTGGCCAGCCTGACTCTGGCCATTGTTCTGGGCAGGCCCTTCCGCCCAACCGCCAGGGACCAGGACCAGGAAGACAAACAGTCCGAAGACTTATCAGAACTCCCATGCCCCACCCACTCCCCAGAGTCCACTGTCCAGGCCTGACCCTCACTGTTCCGACAGCACCGAGCTCCCCAGGGAAGGGGCCTGCAGCCCTCCAAGTACCACCTCCCATCTCGGCGTGCCCCAGAGCGAGCCTCTGTCCAGACTGGAAGCCCCAGAGGGTGGGGCTCAGGTCTCTCTACTGCAGGGGCAGCAAAGGATGCTGGCCACCCACCTCCTCCCCGCACACGCTGCCCTTCTAGACCCCGCCCCCCATGCCGTCCCATGGCCCTGGAGAGCAGAGCCAGACTGGCCTGGAAGACGGTCTCTCCCCCATGCCTAACCTCTGCTTGTCCCCAGGGCACAGAAAAGCTGCCGGAGTTGGGGAGACCTGGGACGGAGTTAGCCAGTCTCACTGTGGATACAGAAACTAAGCTAGGGTCACGCCCGCAACCACCACTGCCCAGGACTGGCACTTTCGCAGGGCCCAGTTCTTGATCTGGGGCCCAGACTGCAGTGTCCTGTGCATACAGCAAACGGGTCCCATCCTGACGCTGAGGGCATTGGGCAGCGGTCAGCTCTGCCTCGGTTCCCTCAGATGTGGAAGGTGAATGCCTCAAAGCTAAGGAATGTCCCGAGGCCTGGGATGCTGGCCGCAGTCAGCGGGCAGCAGAGGCAGCAGAGCCAGGGGGATACGTGCGGGCGGGTCAGTCTCGCTTGGGGAGGCCAGGGTGGGGGTGTCTCTGGAGGACCGGGACCCGTTCTCTCAGCCCAGCCCCACCCCACACACTGCAGAAAGGCTACTGGGGCCCAGGGTGACATGGGAGATCAGGGAATGCCCAGCTCCATGCTTCTCCAGACCTTGGCTGGCCTGGCTTGGTTTCCGTGGTAACCTGACACACAGCGTCCTGGCTGTAGGCAGCCCCTCCAGAAGTTCCCGCAGTCCCTGCGGCAGGTAGGCAGGGAGCCCATCCCGGGCATCCACCATCCTGCACAAGCTGGGGCAGCAGGCGCCAGAATCGGTGAGCTGGGCCTGGGGCTTGGGCTAGTTAAACATTAAGCCTGTGCCAGCAGGTCCGTCTGGACCCTGCCCACCAGCTGGGCGCCTGGAGAGCCAGGCGCTTCCTGCCCCCCAGTGCTGAGCACCTAAAGTGCACCAGGCCAAGGGTAGGGGCCTACCTACACTCCCACTCCCAGCCCGGGAGGACACGCTGCTGCCTGGAAGAGTCCCCACTCCAGCCTCAGGGTGCAGAAGGAGGTTCCAGAAACAATGGCAGCTGGAGAGAGACTGGCACCCTACCCCACATCAGGGTGAGCATAAAGCCGTGAGCAGCTGGCCTGGCACCTGCCCACCCCAGGGGCTGTGCACAGTGGCTACGGTCCATTTCCTCAGGAGGCCCCACCGTGCAGGCCCTGGAGCCGGGCTCTCCGTAGGCAGCCTCCGCCATGCCGCAGGCACCTCGCCTGGCCATGCCAGCCTCCCGCCCACGGGTGCGGTGCCCAGGAGGAAGCCTGCGCGGCTCTGGCCACACATACAGAACCACATCGCCCAGGCTGGCATCGCAGCTGCCACGTACCAGTCACTTCTTTGTGCTTCGATTTCCTCATCTGTGAAATGGACTAAGAACAGCACCTTCCCGTCCGGCTGCCAGGAGAACTGAGTTAAGGTTCTGGCAGTGTCCTGGCTCCGTCCCCTGGGGCCCCAGTCCCTGCAGACCTTCACTGCCAGGAACCTCAGTGCCTGTCTGGGAAGCAGGGTGGGTCTCCCAGGACCCTAGACCCATGGCTCTCTGCTAAAGTCTACCCTGGGCGGTGACCCTCAGCCCGCAGCACCCAAGACAGAATTTGTGGGACCCTCCAGGGCTGAGGGTGAGGGAGGAAGCTTGAGACTGGACGCATCTTCTGCCCCTGCTGAAGCCAGAGCAAGACCCTGAGCCTGGGACATGCTGTCGCCCCAGGAACCTTCAGACCCCACCACGACAGCAAAGCCGGGCACGTGCCCAACAGCGCCCGAGGCACGGAGACAGGCAGACCAGCACTGCGACCCCGACCCCAGGGCAGATGCCGGTGGCCGGGCACCCAGGGCCGGGCCCGCGCCCGCGGAGCCCGAGGTGCGCACCACAGAAGCGCGCAGAGGGCGGC